AAAGAGGGCAGCTTCCAGGATCTCTTCTTCTCGCAGTATTGAGCTAAATTCGGCTCCTAGGAGGGCAGCAGAAAGACCTTCCTGCCAGACAGGAGAGCTCCTTGGGAGCAAGATGAGCCCGCGGGAGGCACAGCTGGAGGGCGGCAGATGTAAGGGGGGACATAGGTAGCCAGGGAGGTTTTTCTTCTCTTTTGTGCATCCTAAGTAGATTTCACTATGCTGCCTATTTCTTGTCCACCAAAAAGTACAATCTGGAAAGATATGCAATGTACACATATTTGGGCTCATGAAGTGGGTAGTATTTGCCCTTAAGAGAGAAAAAGGTATTTCAATTTTCAGTCCAAGATATTTCAACAGCCAGATTAACAACATATAATAGTAATAAATTATTTTAAAGATAAGTGGTAGCAATAAGTAATGTAGAGAATTGAGATAACTTCAGTAATTAACAGTAATAAGAAACAAGGCATGGAAACCATACTTGGCTGTAAAACCTTCTTCCATGTATTGCTGAAAATTTACTGTATTATTGCCATGTGTTTTCTCCTTTTTAAGGTCTCAACTTTGCACGTATTTATTGCTAAGTAGTTCGTTATCCTAACTGAAAGGCTTGTTTCTTTTTTTGTTTTTAATCTTAGGTTAATTTGGCAGCTCAGATTCCCTGGTATGAGAAGCTATCACAGATGAAAATGCCATGGGCCTGCAACTCAGGGCCAGATTCTCATGTGTCAGTAATCCAGAACCTGAATTTAAAAGTTAAAAGCGGTCAGATGCTCGCGATTATAGGAAGCACTGGTAAGAACCACCAGTTTTCCTGATCTAACTCTCACATAAATCACACACAGCTTGTAACAATACTCTTCAGCCTTCTGAACTGCCAAATCTAGCTGAGACACGACTGCTGCAAATGCATCTCTTACGTTCTTTGAAATATCAAGTGTGAGACTACAGAGAATCTGAGTGGAATGAAATCTGACTTTCCCTAGGAAGACAATTGTTGTTACGACCTGGATGTTTGTTACCTGTTTGTTTCTTGAGGTGCAGCTGGGTAGTGCTAGAGCCGTGGCCTGCAATCCCGGTGCAGCGGCAGAACAGGGTGACTGCAGATCCTGAAAGAAAGATTGGTCGCAATATGCACACCCCCAAACAGGCATTTCCTTCAGACACAAACATACTAACAGGGTAAAATATCACGTTCAGATTAACTTTACATAAATATAATGGGAGAAAAAAAAAAAAAGTTTATTCCTCTTTTGTTTTGCCTATAGTGACTTTGCCTACAGGCCTCCACTTTCCTGCATATTTTTCCTTTCATTTTCTGGTGAGACTGGTTTAATCTTCTCCAGGACAAGGCTAACTCATGGAGAGATGGCCTTTACCCTACACAGTTAGCTGGAAGGTGTAGTTAATAGGAAGGTGACCCATTAAACTGAGCTGAACAGTGTCCGTGGTTTGCAGGTAAAACCATCTCATGCTTTGTCTCCCCTACATCCTTAGATCAGATTAGCTGTAATACATTGAAGATATTCTCAGAGAAAGGTGAGACATAATCACTGCAGAAGTTTTAACTCTTATTTCTATTAAAAAATAAAAAATAAATCCCATTAGCATGGAGATTTTTTGCTAGCACGTCTTCAATGAAATTCAAGTTGTGCTTTAGAAATTCCCACAAGTAACAGAAAAAATAATATGTTGAGTTGCAGATACAGTACTTTTGTAAAGTAATGTACACTGAGCATAAACCCCTTTCAGCAAACTAGTCAAAGTATTTTTAAAAGCTGTTTATCATCTTTTTCATCAAATGCCTTAGTAAAATAGATTAAACTGCTGATGGGTTTCACATTGTCAATGGCAGTCAATATGACATTCTTAAACAGAGCAATACACGGTTTACAGATGGATGGGTTTCTTTTTTTTAAATGTATATATTAAGAAACAAGTGTGGAGTTAATCTTTCAACAGACAGACTAGAAATAAGTGACATCTAATCATAATAAGAGAACTCTGTGTGTTTACATACAGTATCGTACAGCATAAGGGAAAAAGTCATTTGCAATTTAATTGCAAATCAGGCTTTGTTTTCATTGTTTTATTTTAATTCCCCTAAGTATGAGCCACCTTTCTTAATTATTTAAAAGACTTCTTTTTACTTATTTCAATCGTAATTATTTTCTATTTAAATCATGATATATATATATATATTTTGTTAATCTAACGGTAGCTTCTCAGCACCTGCGTTGCGTCGCTGTCCCGGCTGCCGTTCCTGGACGCGCAATAACCCCACGAGCCGCTCGCACCGGCGTCCAGGCGCCAGCGCCACCGCTGCAGAACACCCCGTTAGCAGGGCCTCCAAAGCCAGAGAGGACGGGTAACTGCAAGAGATAGGTCACTTTCTCAGACCATATAGCAATGACCAAAGGAAAACTACCAGTTCTCCTGAGAGATGAGAAAGGTTTAAGTCATGTACTCCCTTCTGCAAGAGAGAGGTTTCCTGAATGTGAGTGTGCACTTGAGTGCCAGCATTTTCCCTGAGGGCCAGTCTGTCTGTGGGGCTTCAGAACAGCTTCAGGAAGGGTCAGGACACAGACAATAAAGAATTGAAACTTCTACCATCTCTTTCTGCAACTACATCCCTTCTTAAACTAGTCCCCTAGAAATTAATTTGTTTTTCAATTTTGTTTTTTTTTCTAGCTGTTGGAAAGACATCACTGCTTGATGTGATAACCTGTCGGGATCACGGAGGCAAGATCAAGTCGGGTCAAATCCTGATCAATGACAAAACCAGCACGCCCCAGCTCGTTAAGAAATGCATCGCACACGTGCGGAAGGATGACCGGCTGCTCCCTCACCTGACCGTCAAAGAGACGCTGCTCTTCGTTGCCAAACTGCGGCTTCCAAAGTCTTTTTCAGACTCTCAGAGGAAAAAAAGGGTAATTAGGCTGTTGGGGAAAAAATATAGTTGTCAAAAATGTGTCTGACAGGAATCATCCAAGCAATCCTATGCGTTTGGAGTCAGAACAGCTAATCTGGCATTTTTTTATGAAGATTATGAATTATAAACCTTTTTTCTTCTTTTAAGATAGAAACTAGCAATTTTTCCAAAGCTCATAAAAATTGACAATCTAGAGAAAGCATTAGAGAGGCTGAAAGAACCAAATTGCCGATAGCTGGAGGGTTGACAACATTATCCCTGAAAATCGAGCTTTGTTTTCAAGGGGCGCTTGATCAGCTGAATTTTAACCTTATTTAGCGCATTTTTGGCTTCGCGGATGTGCAAGTTCCCAAAGCGCGAGCTCCCTCTTCACGACCCTTCCCGCTCGCTCCCCTCAGGTGGACGACGTCATCGCGGAGCTGCGGCTGCGCCAGTGCGCCAACACGCGCGTGGGCAACGAGTACCTGCGCGGCGTGTCCGGCGGCGAGCGGCGCCGCGTCGGCATCGGCGTGCAGCTCCTCTGGAACCCGGGTAAGCCCGCCCGGGGGACAGGGGACGGGGCAGGCCCGGTGATCAGGCCTGCTGATGGGGCGCTGCGCCCTGGTGTAAGCCAAGTGGGTGCTAATGATGGGTGATGTGGCACCTGTGAGGGTAACAGTGCTGTGAAAGGAGCCCTTGGGAAGCCAGCGTAGGCTCAGCAGATGCCACAGCACTTAAGCTGGGGAGGCCACCTCTGGGAGCTTCCCCCATTGCCACCCAAAAGAGCTGCCTCCCCCACGGTGGAAACGTGGCCAGAGCCCCCCTCACAGGTGGGCTCCTGTTTGGGTTTGCTTTTCACTTGGCTGTAGGGCGTTCTTTACTTCGTAGGCTTTTTGGCCAAGTAAGACCTTGTGTTTGTTTTCCTTACGCCTCCATACGCCCCCATACGGACTATTTACACGTGCGATGGTAACAGGGAAGGTCATCGTCTTGGCTACGCAGTCATTCGTTGCTGCCTCATGCCAGCCACTGACATAGCTGCCTCACGCCATCAGCAAGCTGAAAATTACCATCGTCTTCAGCAGAAGCAAAATTCAAGGCTAAACCTGGAGGTCACTTTTGTGGAACTGAGTGCCCTATGTGTCCTTATGTACATGAGCACCTCCGGTAACTTTATCTGAACCACTTTTACTTTACATACTCCGGTATGTTACCGTTACTCCGGTAACTTTATCTGAACCACTTTTGAGGGAGGTTTTCTAGCTCTTCTCCCTCCACTGCGAGAAGGATCTAGAAGTCTTTGTTTATACAAAGTTATATTTTTGTTATTAGGGGCAAGCAAAAGATTTTTTTCTTTATTTTTCCTTTTTTTTTGTAATAAGTGATGCTCAGGGATAGATGTGCTTTGCTACTGAAGTCAAAAAATCTTTAGTTGTAAGAAAAATAAGTAGGTCTTCCTTTGCTTTTCAAATGTGCTTCTCAGCACAGAAACCATGTCTGTGCATACACATCGGAAGTTATTAAATCACTTCCAAGTTTTTAAACACTCAACTACAAAACAAAAAATATCCGAACACATGCACATATTTTTTCATATGCATGTGTGAATAAGTGTGAAGGACGGCACAGTTTGGGAGGGCAAGCTATCTAAATTAGTGCCATTTATAATGCAAGAGGTCTAAGTACATACAGTTTAAAATGGTTTCGTAAGCAGCTTATTAAACTAATAGTACTGTATATTAATGTACCAGGTATTTGTACAGGCAAAGTGCACAGTCACAGAATGGCTGAAGCTGGAAGGGACGTTCAGGAGCCCTCACTCAGGGTGAGCTGGAGCAGGCTGCCCAGGATGGCAGCCAGGCAGCTTTGGGATGGCTCCAAGGACGGCGGCTCCGCTGCCTCTCCAGGCAGCCTGTTCCAGTGCCCAGTCGCTCGTGGAAAGACACAAATGTCTAATTCCCCATGTAGATCAGAACCAGTATTTCTCTGCCATTATGCTCAGCAAGTTAAGAAAGAAATATGGCCATGATTAAATGTTATCTGTTGCTGCTGTGAAATATGATTTTGACTCTTTTTTTTTATATGAGGGAGATTTCATGCAATAGCCCCCTTTCACTTGGAATATATTTTTGAGATCAAACATACTGCTTTACACAGTTAATCTTTTTGTCTTTGGCAGGAATACTGATACTTGATGAACCCACGTCTGGACTGGACAGTTTTACTGCTCACAACCTTGTGATAACATTATCCAGGCTGGCCAGAGGAAACAGATTAGTTCTTCTCTCAGTTCACCAGCCCCGGTCAGATATCTTTCAACTTTTTGATTTAGTTCTTCTGCTGACCTCTGGAGTCACCATCTACTCTGGCACAGCTAGAGACATGGTCCAGTACTTCACAGAACTAGGCTACCCCTGCCCGAAGTACAGCAATCCTGCAGATTTCTATGGTTAGTATCAAACATTGCCATTAAAAAAATGCTACTGGAAATCATTTGCTTTCAGAATTGTATCAACTAACGCATTTAATTTTTATTGAGCATAACTATCTTGTGGCTTGAATGACCTGAATCAATACTATAGCAAGTTTTAATAAGATCTTTGCTTATCAGTCAGTACAGGAAGTGTAACAAAACCAGGAGATATGGGCAAAATCAATTTTTAATAATTTTCCTTCCATTCCTGCCAGGTGTAATATCTCTCCTGAATGCTTAGTACCCTTAATGCCATGTTTTGTCTGGCTGGAATTTTTATCCTCACTGAAAAAGGAAGGGATGAGCTGGTGAATCGCTTTCTGAGAACAGTCGTTCTCTGACTTCTTACTCAAGAAAGGTGGGAAGCAATAGCCTCCCAAGGTGAGGAGTAGCACATATCTGGGAAAGAAAGGTGCTGCATACCCAGGCATATTGTAAAGGGGAAAAAAATGAACCCAAATTAGCCATTGTGTTATTCCTCTTCTCAAAGAAATTTAGTTGCCTGGTTCCAAATCCATTCCTTTTCTAGCTGCTTTTTGCGACACCTGCAGGGAACGTGGCCCTCAGTCTGATGGCAGCAGCCTCTTACCACAGAGGTTGGGTCAGCACCAACCCATGGGTCTTTGCCCTCAATTTGGCTCCGAGTCCTTGCACGGACGCTCGAGTCCAGCGCTCTGGGGTTGCGCTAATGTAGCAGCCAGGGGCAGCTCTTATCAGCTGCACAGAGATAAACAGAAATAAACCTGCATGTCAGCCCCCACAAGGGCACTTTTGTAGCTGTGATGTGGGCTTGCATCACCCCGTACATGGATGGGATACTTGGGGTCGTTCCTTCCTTTCTGAGCTCTCTCTCATTGCAGGAGGGAGGAAAGCCCCACCATACGAGAAAGTATGGTCAGTAGGAAAGTGGAAACAGGGGTCCTGTAATGGGATTAAGTTAAAAAATAATTAGTTTCATTAATTAAAAACATAGCGTTAAGTGAACTATTACTGTTGCTACTATGTTGTCCTTGAACAGTGCTTTTTGGAAGCTTTCTCAATTTCAGGTAAAGTTTATGGTGTGTCTGCATGATAGAAACAGAGATGATGATAACTCTTTTTACAGATAGAGAAAAAGCTTACAATTTAAGCTGAATTTATGTAATGGATTATAAATACCTACAATGCCAGGAAGGAAATGTGAATTATTCATTCCCAGCATCAATTTCAAGCCACTATTAAAATTAGACAAAAGATTGAAATAGTACTTTTCAGATCTTATAATGAGCAGTTATGAAGTCTGTTAGTGGTTCATCAGATAATTAAGCAACACTATTTACACACATTTCCCAAGAAACAAACACACGTTAACAAGCTGGTTTTTTTCGCTAATTACTGAAGTAATTGATAAAGTTTTAAGAATAACCGTTGTAGCTTAATTTATGCACCCAGGTTGTACCTTCTGTTCATGATGCAATCTCTGCTTCTAGATGAAGTTTTCACACGTCTAGCACAGACTTATGCCAAATAATATCTTGCAGTTGATTTGACCAGTATTGACAAACAGAATGTAGAAAAGGAGATGGAAAGCCAAAGAAGAGCAAATACTCTTGCCAACTTGTTTCAAGAGAAAGTCAAAGGCTTTGATAATTTCTTATGGAAAGTTACTGAAGGAAATGATAGTGACACCACATCCAGCAAACAAAGGTAAGGAATATCAAGAACATATCTGTCACATCTCAGATGTGGCATAAAGGCCCCAGCTTGAGCTCATCTCCATTTTCTTTATCTTTTCTTTTGGGCAGTTCCCATGGAGGTTCTGAGGTGTCTATTAACATGCCTTCCCATTCGAGCGAATATCAAGAACATATCTGTCACATGACAGATGTGGCATAAAGGCCCCATCTTGAGCTCATCTCAATTATCTTTTCTTTTGGGCAGTTCCCATGGAGGTTCTGAGGTGTCTATTAACATGCCTTCCCATTCGAGTGACCACTTACCAGGAGTCCTAAAACAATTCACAGTATTATTAAGGTAACCTCTACCATAAACAATTATGCATCTTATTCATTTGTACTTTTAAAATATGAAGGAAGAAGCCCAAGTGAGTTGAGCACATGGGCTCAGAGAGGGGGACTAGGATGGAGCGGGCCCAGGGAGGGACAGAGCCGCTGGGCCAGGCCTCCCCTGCCTCGGAGCTGCCCCACGCCAGACAGACAGCCCCATTTCTGCCCCAGGCCCCTCCTGCTCACCTTGCTGAGAGCCTGTGGGTCGGGCTGTGGCAGGACAGGGATATTTGTCTCTGTTTTGGGTGCTGTTGTCCTAACCGCTGTGCCCTGGCGGCGACCTGGCCCTCGGCAATCCAGGGGCCCAAGCAAGAGGCTCAGGCAGTGCCGCCCTCGTGCTGAGCCTGGGGTGTGAAGTCAGGAGGTTTTGCAGGTAACAGACAGCACAGAAGTTATATAAGCGTGTATATATGTTTACATATATATATAAACATAACCAACCACCTCAATATATGTAGAACAGCACTGAATGCTATTAATATATGCTATAGGCCCTTAATAGAGAGGCTCCTCTAAACTTGTCCCCCGCCCAAAATAAAAAACAGACCTTCCTGCCCCACCAAGTCTTTCACCAAGCTTTCAGCATTTCAGCTCTAAAATACCAGGTAACTACAGGTGCTCAACAGCTGTGATTAAGGCTAAACATTTCCAGGACCCGACATGCGAATTCCTGTCTCCTCAGAGACAGCAAGTTTCACAAATGAGTGTTAGAAGAGCGTTTGAGGCAATATATCTAAATATATCTGCCATTAGCAAGTACTATACCTTACTGTAAATGTTGCTGTTTTCCTAGTCGCCAAGTCTCCAATGACTTCCGAGATCTTTCAACGTTATTAATCCATGGATTTGAGGCCCTTCTCATGTCATTATTAATTGGATTTTTGTACTATGGCCATGACAAAAGCAGACTCTCTATTCGTGACACAACAGCACTGTTGTACATGATAGGTGCACTAACCCCATTCACAGTGATTTTGGATGTTATTGCCAAATGTAAGTGTCAGTTTTATTGTAAATGTTATAAGCAATCAAAACTAGAAAGTAATTTTTAAATCAATGAAAAATTATACATATTGAAGGCAACCCCAGGATGAAATCAACCTGTTTGTTTCTGTGTTGCAGGTCATTCGGAAAGAGCAATGCTTTATCATGACTTGGAGGATGGAATGTATTCTGTGAGTCCGTACTTCTTTGCCAAGGTAATTGGTTTTCTTCAGGAAATACACACAGCTGGCTTTAAAGGGGAAGAAAAAAAAAAAAAAAGTTTTTTTTATATAAACGATCACAGTCATATCACACTTTGTTCCTTTGTGTCTGCCAGCTATGGCTACCGTTCCTACTTTCCTGGCATTAACTTGTTAAATCTCAAACTACTGCAGACCTGATGCCATAAATCACCTCTCAGATCCTAGGCCAAAAAAGCAGTAGAGGAATCTTTCACTGGGTTATTTGGCCAAAATGTGGGGATTCTGCAGCACAAATCTGAGGGTTTAGACAGTGTGACATACTGGCATATTTCATGAGCTAAAATATCTTTGAAAGTTGGATAACATGATGTGATCCATAAAACAGAAAATTCATATCAAGTACTACAGCAATTGTAAAACAGATATAGCAAGATGCTGTGACCATTCCAACAGTTGTTTGAGACTGTGCTGGTGAGAAAAACACAACTGTATTGACTGCATAAAGAGCCAGGATTTCTGGATTGCTATCCTCTAATAGTAAGCCTTTAGGAAAAAAAACATAATACTATATAAACCTTTAGATATTTGATAGATACCCTAAGAAATCTATCCTAATCTATCCTAGACATCCTAAGCATATTTTTGTTTTACAGTGAATTAAGTAGTTAACCAACTGGGCTGCCCTCAGGATGAAGTGAGGAAGGGATCAAGCATAATCACAGTTTACTTCAAGCCTGAATTCAGATTAAATTCCAGTGAAATTTGGACAAAGCAAACAGATGCAATGAGACAATAACAGCGTTACTACTATCAAGTCCACAAAGGAAAAGAAGAAAAGTGTCTTAAATTCTCAGAAACTGATAAAACTGAAACAAGCATCTATCCCTTAACAGAGAGCCAATCAACTTAGCCATTAATCATAGGAATTGTTACCGTTAGAAAACAAGTTAGGGACATTTTTCATTTTATTGTAGTTTCTTTTTTCTTTTTCCTATTTTTTTAATGTTCCCAGTAACACCTAAAAAAAGAAGACCACTGCATTTTAAAGGATTATTTCCTGTAGACTTCTTAAAAATAGTCCACAAGTACAATAAGATGCATCTCAGCAGGTTTTGTGGTTGCACCATATTTTTCTCTCTCTTTTTCTCCTCCCCTCTCCCCTCTCCTTCCTGAACAGATTCTGGGGGAGCTCCCAGAGCACTGCGCTTTTGTTATCATTTATGGGATTCCCATCTACTGGCTGGCAAACCTGAACCCGGAGCCAGAGCATTTCCTGATGAACCTCCTCTTCGTGTGGCTGGCCGTGTACTGCGCCCGCACCATGGCGCTCTGGGTGGCCGCGCTGCTGCCCACGCTGCAGCTCTCGGCCTTCTTCGGCAACGTCCTCTTCACCTCCTTCTACCTGAGCGGCGGCTTTGTCATAAGCCTGGAGAACCTCTGGACAGGTAGGACAGCCTCAACCGGGGAAAATGGGTGTTTCCATCAGCAGTCACTAACTGGGAGGCTGAGTGAGTGCCGTGCAGGAAAATGCTGCTTTTTTCCCACTATGACAATTGTGTCGTGAGGAGAGGGCAGGCATGTTTGTTACTCCCTTGGCATCTGTTTCTCCATCTGAAACAGAGGTCATAATAATAGTGAGCTTGGTTAAAAAGAGCACGAGTAAAAGGCTGGCTTTATCCCTACATAGTTCCAGGAAAAAGAACTATATTCAGTAGATGAAATTGAAACTCTGATATAGATATTAACCTCCCCTTATTTTCCATTTCTGCCTACTTAAATATCTGCCCTTACCTTCAGTAATAAACTATTTGTCTACAGCCTCTAGAAATCAAGAAATTAGACAAACCTGTGGCAATGACACAGCTATTTTTGGGGTGCAAAGTATCTTTTGTGTATTTATATCAATTCCTTTCCTTCTGCCATTTTTTTTTCCAGTTCCATTCTGGATTTCCAAAATATCTTTTCTGAGATGGAATTTTCAAGGCCTGATGCAAGTTCAGTTTAATGATCTCACATATGAAATAACTATTGGAAACATTACCCTTCCTGTACCTGGGAAAATAGTAAGTTGCTCTCCAACAGAAATGGTTATAGCTGATAGTCACTTAAAATGCTATTTGCATGACCTTCATATTTAATGTAGATTCCGTAGGCCAGAAATTCACCAGCTCCAATCAAGAAGCAAGGCCACGTTACACTTGGCGTATTTTAAGTTGGCTCTTTGCTGCCTGGAGCTTGGGGCTGTTCGACTTTGCAGAGTCGTCTTGGCTGCCACCGCAGCCCTGACACAGGGAGGTTTGACACAGGTTATGCTGCTCCCTCTCATAGCCCCTCTTTGATCCCAAGTAGCAGAAGGGAGGTGAGGAGCCCCAGATCTGATGAAACTCTATGAGGTTATTCCCACACCAGCATTTGCAGAGGAGGGAAGGAGACCTGCAAGAGCCTTCCTGGCTCCTGCAGCGCTCCAGGCACAGCCATGCAGGAACAGGGATGCACTTGGTGCCTGCTCGGAGCCAAGAACATGCTGCCCATGGAAATTGCTTTGCTGCATTTTGGTATGTCTGGGCTGCTGCCTCAAAGTCCCTTTGCAAAGGGAGACATTAGGTCTCTCTAACCCAAACTGTGGTAGCTGCTGCCCCAGAGCTGCCTTGTGAATCCTGCTGAGACACACTCAGAGGCGCAAATTCCACCAACAGACAGATCTGGAGACTCACTGACACAGCAGCTGAACCTCCTGACATTTTACACAGCTACAGCTGCCAACAGACCCTGCCTCAAGCAGATTTGTGTTCAGGTGTCCTGCAGTTAGTTCGTCTACACCCTTCCCTTGAGGCTGAGCCTGAACTATCCACCACCAGCAGCCAGACCACAGTGACCTCTTAGGTGACAGTTGTGTCCAGCTGGAAAAGAAGGCAGCATCAAGGAAGTGCACACACAGGAGAGGCATCCCTTCCCAGTGTGAAAACGCTGCCACTTCCTAATTCTGTGTTGTCTGTGGTTACAGGTAACTCAGTCCCTGGACCTGGATTCTCAGCCTCTCTATGCAAGCTATCTCATCCTCACTGCGATTATCCTCGTCTTCCTAATTTTATATTACATATCCCTGAGGTTCATCAAGCAGAAATCACATCAAAACTGGTAACAGCAAAACATGGAGCCGGGTCCCTTGCACAAAAACACTCACATCTTTGCTCCTCATGGAAAGCACCCAAGCTTATTTTTTGCAGCCTTTGAAGATGTCATTAATTCTTCACAGCAAGAGCAGGTAGGTGCACAGTGTGTGGTACTGAAGTGAGTCCTGTGAACCACAGGATGGCAGCAGATACCAGCAGTGCGAAGCCGGGTTGTGCTCCTGGACTTGGGCCATATTGTCACGGATAAAGAAAACCAAACTGAGACTTCTACAATTTTATTTTTGACATATGGCTTTAGAGGTGGCAAGATGTGCTTGAGTCATCTACATCTTGTAATAGCTTGAGCTGTGGGCCAAGGATTCAGAAGGACCAGTCCCAGTTTATGATAGCTGAAGTTTTAGCCAATATTTTTTGAATGTGTAGCAATCATGTACTTAATTAAGGAACCTGTGAGAGCAGCAGTATTGGCACATACAAAAGCACTTGGTTTCTGCAGCAAGTATTAAATTCAGCACTCATACCGAATAATGCAGAGGAAAATAACTGTATAGGCAACGACAGAAAACAAATATTAATTATTCTGTCTCGTTTATAATTGCTCCAGTGCTTTAAGATTTTGTCTGTATTAGCCCTCCACTTAGGTGCTATTGACGCCCCAAACAAGTATTTTCTCACTGTATCTATTATTTCTTATTATAGATAAAATTATCTTACCTTAATATATCCATTTTTAAGTATAAATGCACACAAACTGACTGTACCACTCACGTTTTTCTCCACGCTGATACACAATGTAGCAATCTGCCAGCTTTGGTTCCTAAGAACCTCAGGTAGAAAATAACAAACCTTTCCACCCAATAACTAGAAATCTAATGGCACAATCTATGAAATGCTTGCAGTCATACACCTACCTATATATAGACATAAGCCAAATGCTCAGAAAATTAGAGAAGAGCAAATAAATGGCCATAACTCATGTGTAGTCATGGTAAGCACATGCAAATCAGGTGCACAGGTGTGCAAACATTTTATATGATTAGCTTGCTTGTTTTTGTAATGCTTGTATGCATAGCTATGTGTTTGTAAATACCTAAAAAACTCCAAAGTACATCATCTACTTTCATTTACCGATGTGCTGTGCACACTCAAAACTCCTATATAATCGCCTGTATAATGCCCTGGATATTGTTACATGAAGCTGATTTTTTTTTAAAGAAGAAATAAAAACAAAATACCACCCATGTTTTATTATGTCAGTTCGGCAAATAGGGCTGCCACGTTGCTTGCCACAGAGGCCATGCGGGAGTAAGTTCTGAGGAAAACCCTAGGGTAAAGACTTGAAGTAAGTCTGGAAAAAGCAGCACCTCCAGCTTTACAGAGTCATAGAAATCCAAAACGCTCCATGTGTTTTTTCTGAGGCAAGTTCTACCTTTCCTTTCTTGCTCTGTTTCCTCTAATTTCCAAAAACACTCTTGATCTTATTCTAGTGCCATTTTGGAATTAGCAGATTTCCATTGCTTTCTAATGGCAAAGCCAATTCTTTCAGTCCAATCCAGCATCATTAAATTGTCAGAGTAGCAGCTTCCTGTTTGATTCTTAATTATTCCTTTTTATTATATTTAAGACACTCATTTTTTTAAAGTGGTTTACTCTTCTTTGTAATGATCTGTTGTGATTAGAATCTCTTTTATATTACACTGAAGTTTTAAGGGTGTATATTGGTACTTCTAGTCTAAACCTCTATTTTCAAGGTATTTAGAGGATTAAATTCTAGGCTGACTCTCTGTTGTGAATTCACTTTGATGTTTAATAAAAAAAAGGAGAGAGACAATGGGAGAAATTAAAGACAGAAGGGACAGCTCTGAATTTTAGGGGCATATTGTCATGCACAGAAATCTCCAGGCACCTAAGATAAGAACACACCATAGCCTTAACTTTGAATTTCCTTCCTTTTGTGAAATTAGTCAGGCTGCTGACATTACTTAAACAGCCGTTGGCAGTTCAACATTCCTCCCTCGGCGCAGCGCGCGGCAGGACCCCGCGGCGCGAGCGCCTCCGCGCTGCTGTTGTGACAGGGCGGGACGCTCGCACAATGGCGCCCGCCAGGCCCCTGTTTACACAGGGAAGCCTCGCGCTCGATATACTACAATTACTCTGGCAGGCTGCCGGGGATCGTGTCTCGCTTCGCCGGTGCCGAGCGATGGCGAGTCTAGGCTGTGATTACTGCTGCGGGCTGCGGCGAGAAGCGGACGGGAGCCTCGAAACACCCGCAATTAGCGCCGGCGTGGAAAACGCTCTGTTCTGCCTTGCCGCAGTCCGCAGGGAAGCGGCCAGGGAGCGGGCGCCTTCCTGGGAGCTCTGGCAAAGGCTAAACATCATCGGCAGGTGGTTGCCCCTCAGTGTTGCTTTCCACGTTTCGGGGTGGTCGTTCCTCTGCCCTCGACTCACCTACGTCCATACAAGTGCATGGCTTCCCTGTGCTCCCTCAGCCAAACAAACCCGAGGAGCTGGCAGCCATCCCAAACCAGAGAGACTCGAGATCACAAGCCAGGCAGTACGCGCCACTCTCCACACACTTCCACATGTTGCTCTTGTGACTCGAGGAATGGAGTAAGGCTTACACAGAAGTAGATCACTACTAGCCACACTGGCAACACTGTCCTTCCCAGGGTTCACCCACTATCATCCTTGCTCTCCTCTCCACAAGACAACACTAGGAAGATCTCCTTGGGTACGGATCACCATCCAGGCTGCGGCAGACAACCGCATCCATACAAATTCTGAACTGCTCCATATCTCCAGTTTTGAAGTGGTGTAACTTTTAGGTACTTATAAAACCCCAGTTAGGCATTTTGCCTGGCTGCCCTTTGCATCGGCCAACGCACAGGCTAATTTGCAAGGTGCTGTTGGGTTTCATTCTGCACATACCTTGGATTTGGGAATGAGAGCCTCAAATACAAGTAACACCAATATTTGTAAAGAAAAATAAACTCATCAAATTTACCAGTCAAAAACATCTTTGCTGGTTATATCAGTGCTATAAAGAACAAAGCAACATGTGCAAAATAGAAACTTGGTACAGCATCCCTATGCATTGGAGGACAACTATAACGAATCAGATGAGAATTTTTTTTTTTTATTGCTTGAAATCTTGAACTCACTCTTCAGAAGCCAAAGGGACAAACTTTTTTTAGCATAGGCAAATGGAATATAAAACAACTAATTTGCATATTGGCTCAGGTGTAATGGCAATCCTCCAAAATACTTTTAACTCGTCGTTCGAAAAGGACTAGCTTTCACTCTGCTAAAGCTAAATTAATAAGTAGCTGCTCAAAGTTCCATCCCATATTCATTCATCACAGATTGCACTCAGAAATGCTAAGTTTGTTACAGGTATCAATAGCCATCCACTTTTCAATTAAAAACAAAACAACAAAAACAAACAAAACAAACCCCAAGTGCCCCAAGCTATGTGGGGACTATCCACACGCAAGAACTTACAGCTGCTGATCTGCTCCCTTGTACCAGCAATAAGGAACCCTTCAGGTTTTAGCCACAATGATTATTTCAATGGCAGTAGACAAGGAACAGTGAACATGGAGCTCTGTGACATGCTGCATTTTTTTTTTAATCTGAGAGCCAAGACAAGCCGCTCGTATGTTAGCAGCTATTAATTAAGGCAACAATGTTTAAGCAGTGGGTTGAGGCAATTTTAAAACTACTTAACCCTTTTAAGAACTGATAAGCTTTAGAAGTGTCTGTGTGTGTGTGTATATATATATGCCTGCATGTATGTGTATACATATGCATGTGTACATGTATAAGCAAGTATAGGTATAAAATACATATATTGTATGTATCTGCAATGACAGCTGACTAATTTGTTTCAGGGAATATTTAGAAAGCAACTCGCATCCATAAATTTTAAGCGTTGTTACCAAATTAGGCAATTAAGTATAGAACTATCTAGTGATGTTGATTTTTCATCAAATCAAACATACGAACTTACTTTGAGCTGTAAATTATGCTGGTATTCTTTATGCTTTCATGATTGCAACAGTTTGATACCTTCAATGTTTCCGATGACAAGAAAGTGCAGCTCAAGAGACCTCCCTCTGCCTTCACTGCCTGGCTCCACAACCAGCATCCGGCCTCATCAGCCCATACAGAGACCTGGAAGTGTCTAGTGAGAGTCCTGTCTTGCTAACCTTAGCAGCATGTCTCGGCACTGTTTCTGCTTCACTTAATTTTTTCACAGGTGAGTTTGAGGCATAAGTGTTCAGATACTATCCAGAACTCATACAGTGAGTAAACAAGCGATGACACTTGCACAAGCAATAATTTCTATTTTGTACATAGGCAAATGAGCCCAGAAGAAACTCATCTGCCAGTTTAGTACTGAATTTGTAAACACACAAATAGCAATTGGAGACCTATAAACATTCACAGATAGTTGAAAGCTAAGCATACAGAACACTGTATCTACAATAAATTCCCAGTGCCTGGCAATGATGCACACCACGTTAGGTAACGTCATCAGTCCTCAAGACAATATTCTGACTTGCTTTTGGTGGGTTGAGGGAGAAAGTTTACAACAGTGTTTCTGCTTTTCTGTTTGCTTTAATTAATTAATAAAAAAAAAACCTTCATGTTTCATCTAGAAGGTTAGGAGAAAAAGTTCAGCACCTGAAATGCCACGTTAGCCTCCTTGGTGCCTGCCACAAGATCACAGTAAGATTTTCTTCTCAAATCATGACACCAGAGTGCCCTAAAAGAATGAGGATTATCCGATCTCTTGATTTTCCATAAGCTCCCAGAGCTTTCACAAGGGTTATTTAAAATGGCCAAGCCCTTTAGAACAGTGAAGACACTGGAGAAAAGTGCAAAGCCAAAAAACGGACTATCAAAGCAGCCCACAGTGAAACAGAGTGCAAAGACTGAAGATTTGCAGCAACAGGACATACAAACTGACACTGTCAGCAGGGCGCTGCATGCGGCAGCGCAGGTC